CTAGAAGCTTGTGTGGAGTTGAAGGCTGTAAGAAGGAAGGTGTCAGAAAGCAAAACTTATTGGTGTTAAACTGAGTCTTCTTGCTATAATTCACATGGGAAATGGAGGGAGGGAGGAACTCAGATCATTAAGACAAGATAGAGTTTTTCCATTTTTCCCTGTTCTCTTTTAAGAAGCTTCTCACAATCAGTGCCACTTGTGATTACACAGGTTCTTTCCAAATCTAACCTTGCCTGCTCGTGGTGTTTGTAGACCCTTGTTTTTCCTTTAAGGGGATTGAAAATGAAAGGTTTAGCTGGGCATCAGTGGCTCACACCTATAATCCTAGCTACTCAGGAGGCTAAGATCTGAGGATCGAGGTTCAAAGCCAGCCTGGGCCAGGAGAGTCCAGAGGCAGGAGAGTCAGGAAAGTCTTATCTCCAATAAACTACCAGAAAAACTGGAAGTGGCGCTGTGGCTCAAGTGGTAGAGCCCTCGCCTTGAGCTGAAGAGCTGAGGGACAAGCCCATGACTAACAAAAGAAAAGAAAATGAAAGGTTTCACACCTTTAAACTCTTTAACTCCATGGTTTCTGACTTTTTTCATTATTTTTCTTCTTTGTTGTCCCTACATTTAGTTTCCCACCTTTCATATCAATAAAATAATAAATAATAGATTAAAATGTAATGCTATGTGTTAGACGTTTAGATTTCTTTGTTCTATCATACCAGCTCCGAGACCTGGGCAAACTGCTAAATAAAATCTTTTTTTTATTTTTTTTATTTTCTAAATGGTTGGAATCCTGTTGTGAAGGTTACAGTGAAAATTAACTGATCCCATGTTATGTACCATGATTTGCATGCTATACTTTGCATAGTAGTCAGTCAGTAAATATTAGTTCTTAGGTTTATTACAATTAAAACTTAAGCTAAGTGGCATTTTTTAAAAGTAGGTTCCAGTTAAAGAATAGAGGTTGAGGCTGAGAAGGTGGCTCAGTGGTAGAGTGCTTGCCTTGCATGCATGAGGCCTTGGGTTTGATTCCTCAGTACCATATAAGCAGAAAAAGCTGGAAATGGCACTGTGGTTCAAGTGGTAGAGTGCTAGCCTTAAGCTGAATTGCTGAGGGACAGCGCGTAGGCCCAGAGTTCAGGCCCCATGACTGGCAAAAAAAAAAAAAGGCGGGGGCGGCTGGGAAGGTGGCTCAGTGGTAGAGTGCTTGCCTTGCATGTATGAGGCCCTGGGTTCGATTGCTCAGCACCACATAGGCCAGAAAACAGCTGGAAGTACATTGTGGCTCAAGTGATAGAGTGCTAGCCTTGAGCTGAAGAGCTGAGGGACAGTGCCCAGGCCCAGAGTTTAGGCCTATGACTGACAAAAAAAAAGAATAGGGGTTGAGTAGAATAGCCCTGTGTATGTGTACATGTTCTTACTTATTCAATTGTTTTTGGTGTAGAGACTGCAGAGAATTGTAGGTACTCTCTTAGCCCCAGATCATTGGCAGGAAAGCTGACTTTGTCGTTTGGGGCATTGATTTTCTTCCTCCAGCTCCTCACATGCAAAACCTGGTTAAAGGCAGATTATAGGACAACTACTTGTGCATTATCTTGAAGGAGGTTTGGGAAAAGGGGGGAACACCTTTTTAGTAGGCTGGACACTTGTAGTTTGCACCTGTAAACTTAGCTTCTTAGAAGGCTGAGATCTGAGGATTGCAGTTTTAAGCCAGCAAAGTCAGTGAGACTCATCTCCAGTTAACCAGTAAAAATGTTGTCAAGTGAGAGCACAAGGGCTGGCTCTGAGTTCAGGCCTCAGTACTGGCAGAAGGGGGGAGGGGGTGAAAGAGAGAGAGAGAGAGAAAGCCTATTAGTCATCTTATACTTTCTTCTGAATGCCTTTTCAATGCAGTGGACAGATGGGTAATAGGACCCATTATTGGCTCAGGCTAAAAGCTAGGGATAGATGTGGAGAGGTAAAGCATCGGCTGAACTGAATACGGAAGCCGAGTTAGAGTGCAGGCCCTCTGTTCAAGCCCCATTACTAGCACAGAACAAATAAAGTAGTTCTTTTGGAGGAAAATAGAAAGATGGAGCTTTTTTTTTTTTTTTGCCAGTTCTAGGGCTTAAACTCTAGGTACTATCTTTGGACTTTTTACTCAAGGCTAGCACTCTACCACTTGAGCCACAGTGCCACTTCTGGCTTTTTCTGTTTATGTGGTACTGAGGAATTGAACCCAGGTTCACTCTACCACAAAGCCACATTCCCAGCCCAGATGTAGCATTTTTATTATTCATCTAGTCTCAGCTTTACCCATTCCCATGTTTTGTCATTGGTGTGGGTGGAGGTCAGTATGCTCGTGGAGAAGTACATTGAAACTCTCATTTGGTCCTCTCCTTCATGTTGGGTCAGGTTCATGTCACAGAAGTTTTTTGTTGTTTATTTGGGGCAGCACTGGGGCTTATACTCAAGAGATTTACATTTGTTAGGGAATCACTCTATTGCTTGAGCCATGCCTGGCTCATGTTCTGGCTATTTTAGAAAAAAGGTCTGACTTTTTCCCTAGACTGTCCTGACTGCAATCCTAGTCCTAGCTGGGATGACAGCTGTACCAACATCCCAGATTTTTCTGTTAAGATAGGATCTCCTTTTTCCGCACAGGCTGTCCCCTAGCCATAATCCTCCAATCTCTATCTCCCATCATTATTTTTAATGTAAACCAAGCAAGATTCTCTTGCCACCTTCAGCTCTCCTGTCCCTGGAACAAATGGTGCTGTCTATATGGGGACAATTTTGGTTGTGGGTGCAGTATTTGAGGTGCTTGTTGTACAGGCAAAAGGAATGGGTGTTGGTGTGGCTCGTGGGTTTTGGTGACTATGTTGAAGCTACCTAGGACTAAGGATTGCAGAATAGGAGAGACATCAGCTATATTTTCCCAAGAGAACTTACATTGTTCATTCTGAGGAGATTTGGAGATGTCTTCAGAGAATTTTTAAGAGAAGAATTCAGACTTTCCAAAAAAGAACTGTTAAATCCCTTCCCTTTCCTATTTTCTGTGTCCCAACCCTCATCCCACAATGCTTTAGTGTTTTCTGTCTCGTTCCAAGGACCCCTTTAGATCCTCTTCAGTTCCTGGTCTCCATGGTGTAAATGTGGCGCTTGGTTAGGGAGAAGAGGTCAGCACTGAATTCTAAACTCTTTGACTGCTTTTATTTTTCTTTTTTCAGGTTCAAGTGCTGGATTGTGTCATGTGACCATCCCAAAACTCAGAGCACCCTATGGCCATCTTTGCCCTCTGTCACATAACTTGAAAACTGCCTGATGGCCTTTTTGCAATGATTCCTCTTTCCAGGAAGCCTTGATCTCAGTGAAGAAGTCCTTTCCTGGCATTCCAGTACCCCTCTCAGCCCCATACTTCTCAGACACCCTTAACAAACAAAGGCAATCACACACATGATGTAACATACACAAAAAAAGTAAATAATTACACTAAACACTGGTATGTTTGGAGGGGCACTGACCAGGTCCACACACACAAGGTGTGTGTGGTGGGGGTAAGGACTAGCTCCTTTTAGGGAGCTGGGCCATGTCCCCAAGCCTCTTTGTTCCCATGCCTCTTTGGGGATGTGTAAGGATGAGGAAGACTTCAGCTTTTGGGCTTATATTCCTAAGAGTTCTCCCTCCTTGCAAAGCTCTTTACGATGGTAATAAAGGGGCAATGTTTTAAGTGTCCCCCAAGTTTAATGCCCTAACTCTAGACTATTGAGGGAAGTTGACTGGTGCCCACTGTTCAACCCCCACCCCATCAAGAGGCGTTTGGCCCTTAGAGGAAAGCATCTTCACTTTTCTGTTCCTATCCTTCCACCAAGGAAATGTAAATAGTGTTGACAGTCAAGGGCGTCTTGTTCTCCAAGACTGGGTTAGAAGGGATGAACAGAGCCAGAGGAGAGGCTTGGGGTTAACATGGTCGCCATATGGGAAGGGAGTTGAAGTCACTCCGTTATAAAGCACCTTACCTCATTTTCTCACTATGAGAATAAGAGAAAGATGCCAAGACTTAGTAACATCACCTTCCCAAGGTTGATCACATACCTTTGCCCCTTCCATGGTCTGGTCTAAGCAGGAGAGACATGCTCTCAGGAAGAACAAGTCTTCTAGGCTTGCTCACCAGCTTGTGCTTTACTTCAGCATTTTTTTTCTGCCAGACCAGAACTGCTGACTCTGTATAGAGGGAATTCTTTTGCTGCATACTTCCTCCCCGTAGGCTCTTGGCTGGAGCCAGGAGGTAGCTGGTGAGGTATGGGTAGGGTATGGAGATTCTCAACTCCGTGGCTTCAGGCACTGTCCAGCTGGGAGGCAGAGGGGAACTTGTACTTCGAAGCCTGTGACTCTGCTAAGCCTCACATATCTTCACCACCACTCTGGTGCCCTGGTTATCTAGTCCCACAGCGAGAGGTATTTTATGTCCATAAAGTGCCCGTGGTAAGTGCTCAGAATTCATCTCTTGGCTGTGGCGGGTGCTGCTATTTTCATTCCATCGAGGGGAAGAAACTGAGGCACAGTGAGTCCAGAGGAGGGTGGGTGAGGATTGTGAAAGGAATGAAGGGGCTCAACTAGTGGCTTGAAGTGGCAACATCGGCCTGCTCTGCAGCCTTCCAAATCAGAGGGTCTCCATCCTTCTCATCCTCTGCTGTAACTGGCCTTGTCACATGCTGTACCCCACTGTACCACCCCTCCCTGCTGCCAGATACTATTTTCCAAAAATAAAAGATAAAAATTATAGACACTCTACTCCCTTGTTTTCCCTCCTTCTACCCTGAGCTTTGGGGTTGGGGGACTAAAATGTCCCCATCTCCAGAATCCCTTCCACCTTGGTCTGCTGGCTTTATTCCCTAGCCCAGAGCAGTGATTTGGATTCAAATGCCCTGTGACCTTCAGCCTCTTTACTACTTCCTAGACCCTTTCTAACCCTTCCCAGACCTGGAGGACTCTGGGATGTGTATCTTTTTTTTTTTTTTTTTCTTGACCTGAAGATAGAGGCTGGGAGCAGAGGCATTCCACAGGCTCTTTGGTCTCTTGGCTGAGGGGAATTTGGGCATAAGCAGGTTGTACCCCCTGGCAAAATAATACCATAAAAGTGGGCCTGAGGGTTAGTTTGGTGGCTCTCATATAGATCCTGGATGTTGAGGGCTCCCTCTCTCCCCCAGCTCTTAAACCCTAACCTGTTTCCATGAACACTCACCTCAACCCCATTTGGCTCAAAAAGGTTAGTTAGGGTGATTATGGGGTCGAAACTTTTTATGTGTTAGCCCTCTTGCCCTTCAATCCCATTCCCAACCCTGGAGGCTTTATACAAGTGCTTAAGTGGGTATTGGGGAAGAACAGGGTTTGAGGAATAAGGAACAAATGGGGCATCGTGGGCAGGGGCCCCCTATTCCAGTAAAGCCAAATACCAAAAAAAAAAAAAAAAAAGTCACAATAAATAAATAAATAAAATTCCCAAATCCTTACTTTTGCCCCTGTCTTTGTTTCCCTTCCCCTGGCAACTTTTGGAGGGAGAGGGAAGAATCTAAGAATGGATTTTTGATTTCTTCCTACTGAGTAATCAGGGGAACTCCCCAAACTACACCAAGCCTCTCACCTTGCCAGTAGAAAAAAGGAGGCTTGGTGTGGGGCTTTCATTTATTACTCCATGTCAGTCTCTTTCTCAGCATTTGTCTCTGCCTAGTCTCCTGTCTTGTCTGCCTCTCTGTCCCTTTGCCTTCTCCATGCTGCTCAGTTTGCTCCTGTCTCTACTCCTCCATCTCTACCTCTGTCTCTACATCTCTGTCTTCTTGCCAAACCTTCTCATCCACAAACCTCCGACACTGCCTTACCCTGACCATGCCCCTTCTTTTCCCTTTGCCCCAACCCCTCACCCCTCAATCCCCCACTTGCCTCCCTCTGTTGTATTGCACACTGCATGGTCAGGGAACAAGGTGTGGTGTTCATGGGAAGAGGCGGAGGGAGCTGTAGGGCTTGGGGGAATTAGGGCCAGGGCTGGGTCTTGGGGAAGGGTCTATGGGGGAGGCCATCCACTGTCCCCCACCTTAGGAGCAGCCACAGCGATCCACCACCATGCCAGGGATCTTGCCGTAGATAATCTGCTGCTTGTCATTGAAGTAGAGCATGTTGATTGGGGACATCTTGGTTGGGGTGCAGCAGGGCCCAGCAGAGCCTCTTGGATTGGCTTGTTGCACCAAGTGGGTGTGTGGATACTTTTGCATGAACATGTACTCGCACTGGCCAGAGCAGTAGTTGGCTTTGTAGCGCTTAGGTGCGATGATCCAGTCCCAACCAAAAGCCTCAAAGTCCACTGTGAGAGGATATCGGCAGCATCGGGACTCGCTTGAGTGCTCATCACAATCCAGGCCCAGGTTCCGCCGGGACCGTTTTGTGTTCTCTAGGACTCGAAGCTCCATGAAAGGATGCTGAGGGTCAGGGAGAGGGGAAAGAGATGTGACATAGCCCTGAACAGTAGATCTTCCCTGTTCCTTTCCCTGCTGCCTCTCACAGGGGCATCAGAACAGAAACCATTGACTTCTTGGCTGTTCCATCGCTACTAACCCCAGGCAGACTCTATATTCTACACACTTTCGTCACCTAACCATCTCAACTCACCTCCCCTGATTCTCCCTTTCTACCAACCTGAGCCTCATCAGCAATTTGGCCCAGGGCCTCAGGGGCCAGTTTGTGAGTCCCTCCCATCCCCCATCTCCCATTAACTGACACCTTTCTTTATCCCAAATCCAGTTTTCAGCTGTTTGCCTGGCTTGAGTCCCTGGATAGCTTTTGTTTGTCTTGTTTTTGCTTTTTTTGGTCAGTCCTGGGGCTCGAACTCTGGGCCTGGGCACTGTCCCTGAGCTCTTCAGCTCAAGTCTAGTGCTCTACCACTTGAGCCACAGCGACTTCCTGTTTTCTGGTGGTTTATAAGAGTCTCATGGACTTTCCTGTTGGGGTTAGCTTTGAAGTATGATCCTCAGATCTCAGCCTCCTGAGTAGCTAGGATTACAGGCGTAAGCCACCAGTGCCCAGCTCCCTAGATAAGTTTGTTTTGTTTTGTCAGTCATGGGGCCTGAACTCGGCCTGGGCGCTTGTCCCCTCAGCTCTTCAGCTCAAGGCTAGCGCTCTACCACTTGAGCCACAGCGCCACTTCTTGCTTTTTCTGCTTATGTGGTGCTAAGGAATCAAACCCAGGGCCTCATGAATGCAAGGCCTGCACTCTACCACTGAGCCACCGCCCAGCCCCTCCCCAGATAGTTTTAATTGCCACTCTCAACACCCTATGCCTCTAGAATCAGCTCCTGACCCCAGAGGAAAGAACACTGGTCCCCAATCCTTTCACATGCCTAGTCCACTTTTTCTAACATCCCCCACCTCCTCAGGGCCATATCCACCACCACTTCCGGCCCCCTGCTCACCAGCCCCTCAGCTCCTGGCCCCAGGGAGGTGACCGCCAGGTCTGTGCCACTGGGATCAAAGGCGTTGATCTCGATGCCCCAGTTGCTCTGTGGCTGGCGGAACCAGCTGTGTAGCACTTGCTTGAAGTCGATGCTCTGCCAATGGCCGGAGCGTGAGTGTAGCTCAATCTTGAGTGAACGGATACGGATGTGACGCCGGCCTCCACCCCCTCCCCCAGTGGTCCCTTCCCCAGTTAGGGGTTTCAGTCGCAAGATCTGCAGGTAGACCGTGGCTGGGCGGGGTACCGGCCGAAGGTACACCCACAGCTGGGCCTTCAGTACCTTTGTGAACATCACCTTGGGGCTGAAGTGGAAATGGCAACAGAGAGGGCTGCCATCTGTCTGCACTGCAGGGTCAGCTGATAAGAGAGAAGGGGGCACAGCATCAGCAAAGAGTGTTTGTGTAGAGCTTCAGCAACCCTGGGTGGCATTGGCAGGTTCTTCTGAGCCTGAGTTTTCCAGTTCTTCTTTACCCTTCTCCCGCGCCTCTGGTACCCGAGTGTCTCCTCTCTAGGATGATGACTGTTAGGCTTTCCTGATCTGTACCAGTTTCACTAAGCTACAGATTCCCCTCTACCAAATGACCTGTAAAGCTAGTTATTAGGTAATTCTTCCCTCCAGAGCTTTCCAAACATGTAAGACCACAACTTTTTTCTCTGAATCTTCAGTGTACCTCATTACTCCTGCTGTACTCAGGTTACCTTGCCTTCCTCTTCCTCAGGTCTGCTCTGATCTGTTTAATGGTGGAGCCTGGTACCCCACCCCCAAAAGAAAATGGCCTTAGAGGAGAGCTGAGAGGTCCAGAGAGTATAGGCTAAATTTGCCTCATAAAGTAGAACTCAGATCTAGGCTTCTCATGTTATTCCTTTACACCTACCAGATTGCCCATTCCCTCTCCCCTAAATCAAATTCCCTTAGTTGCTTCCTCATTGCCACTACTGCCCCAGCTCTCCCCTCCCTCCCTCCCTCCTTCCCTCCTTCCCTCCCTCCCTCCTTCCTTCCTTCCTTCCTTTCTTCCTTCCTTCCTTGTGATACTGGGGTTTGAACTCCAGGTCTTGTACTTGATAGTCAAGCATTCTAACACTTGATTCATATCCCAGTATTTTTAGCTTTAATCAACAATTTTTCAGGTAGAGACTCAAGCTTTTTGCCCAGGCTGACCTCTTCAGACCATGACCCTCATATCTTCACATCACAAGAAGCTGGGATTATACAGGCATGAGCCAGGGTGCCCACTGGCCCCAGCTATTTGCACAGTGTCGGAAATCATTTTCAGCAAATGATATTAATTATTAGCAATTGTCTCTTTCTCCCCCGAGCTTCCTTTGGTTCCTCAGTCTGCTGCTACAGTAAGTCTTTAAAAAGTTTTAATACCCCTTTACATTTTGATCTATTTTCCCTTGTTGGGGGCCATAAATATTGATAAATATTGGTTCTCGCCAGGCGCCAGTGGCTCACGCCTGTAATCCTAGCTACTCAGGAAGCTGAGATCTGAGGATCACAGTTTAAAGCCAGCTGGGGCAAGAAACTCTGTGAGACTCTTATCTCTAATAAAGCAGTAGAAAAACTGAAGTGGCTCTGTGGCTCAAGCCGCAGAGCGCTTGCCTTGAGCTGAAGAGCTGAGGGACAGCGCCCAAGCCCTGAGTTCAAGCCCCACAGCCGACAAAAAATATATATAGTGTGTATGTATGTATATAGATAGATTCTCAATATACATCCCCTGTGTCTTCCTCAGTTCTGATTTCTCTCCCTTCTTCCTAATTACTTAACTAGTTGGGAGTGCCCTAAATTATGAAGTCTTTCATGCCCAGGTTTCACATTCTGAAGGACTTAGCATATGGTGTCTCCCATCAACACCCCCCCCCAGCCCTCCCCAAAAGGAGCTGAGATGGGGAGGAAAGTGCTTAATGATTTCCATATATTCAGAACATGATACACAAAGTTCTTCTGTCCTGTAGCATCTTTTCCTTGGTTCTTCTGAGGTCCCCGTGCTCTGGTAGTCCTCACAGTTACTCTACTGGTGGGAGCGTCAGTAGAGGTGCAGTGGAGAGGGATTTGGGGAGTGGAGATTCAGAGATTAGGAGAGTAGTAGCTGGGTCAGGGAAGCTACTAGTGAGATCTGGAATGACAAGCAACAGTCCACATGGCATAATGTGCCTAATTACAGCATAGGAATTACCTGGGTTTTGCTGTTAACTACTCATCTCCTTGTGAACAGATTTCTCATAAGTACAAAGCTGTACTCAACATTCCATGCTGGGATCTTATACAGGCAAGGACTTCAATTTTTCCTAAACTCTTATTCTTTGGTTACAGCACCAGTGTATTTGTATTTGTTTTTAACTAGTACTGGAGGTTGAACTCGGGGCCTGGGTGCTGTCCCCCAGTCTCCTTGTGCTCTGTCACTTGAGCCACAGCGCCACTTCTGGCTTTTTCTGAATGGTTTATTGTAGTTAAGAGTCTGACGGACTTTTCTGCCCTGGCTGGCTTCGAGCAGTGATCCTCAGATCACAGCCTACTGGGTAGCTAAGACTATAGATATGAGCCACCAGACCCCAGGCCACCAGTGGGTTTTAACTACTGCCAGACTCCTTACCTACCACACTTTTCAGTGTGGTACAGGTAATTCTCAATCAATGTTGGTTTAACTCTCTAAGCTCTAAACCAAAGCTGAGCTAGGATTTGGAGGTAATGGATTGGGTACTAGAGTCTTGTCCCCACAATCTGGTTCCTTAGCCTCATTCTTCACCCACACTAGAGAACCCTCACACCTTACACTTCTGTGGATGTGGGAGAGGAGAAATGGAGAGATCTTGGAATGAAGGCAGGTTAGATCACAGTAAGGGAAGAAGTCAGTTTGGGAATTGCAGAAGGCTGAGGTAGTGAATTGGAAAGGACTGGGTAGGAATTAAGCTAAAGGTAAGAGGGGTAGAGAAAAGAGCAGAAAGGGTGCAGAGGGAGAAACAAAGGGGAAGCAGGTAGAGCTACAGAGGGAAATGGGGCTTGAGAATGTCCCCAACACATGTCGTTCCAGTCCCCCCCCCCCCAGCACTCATGGGGAAGGGAAGGGGCCACATCTGTGTTGGATTGATCTGGTTGGTGGCAGGCAGCAGGTCAGGTTTAGTAGGCGGTGCTGGTGGGGGAGAGAGGTCATTGCACTATTTTCAGCAAAGGCCCAACCCCCTCCCCGTTCACTCCCCCCTTTCCTCCCCCCCACACTACACCCCTCTCCCAACCCAGGCTGGAAGTCCTGGGGGCAGAAGGTTGGGGCTGAGAGGGCAGGGGCCTCAAGGGGTGTGCCAGAGAGACAAACTAAGGGGCTGGGCTTGGCTCCCCGAAGGGCAGGGGGCTGGGTTCTCAGGATGAAGGCTGGGGTGAGAGCGCCTGAGAGGGTCGAAGGAACTAGGGCAGGCAGGCACAGCAGCCTGGGCGAGGTGGGGGCTGGGGTCCACTGTACAGGGCTGGGGGAGGGGAGGCAGGGGGGAGGGGAGCAGAGGCCATCTCTGCTGACAAACACCTCCCCCGATTAGCAGAGCACAAGTCTCTTATTAAAGCGGGTCCCTGGGGATTAGACTATAAAAGTCTCTTTTTCCTTTTCCCCTCTCTCCCTCCCCTCCCCTCCACTCCCCCTCCCTGTCTTAAGAGCACTGCTAGACTCTTAAAGGGGCCGTACAATATACCTGGCTGGAGACCTAGTCCTAGTTAACACAAGTCCTGGGGGGGGGGGTACTAGAGGGGAAGTTGAGGTAAGACCCCACCCCACGAGCTTGTCCTTCCCTCCCTCACACCCCACCCCGACTACGCTGGGCTGCCCAATCCAGTACACAGGAAAGGTCCCTTCCCTTCATGCATCCCTATTTCCAGAGCTAACTGTGGGCTCAGGCCTTAATGTTAAGGGATGCTGAGAGTGGCAGCAAGGACATCACAGCCTAGAAACCCTTCCGTCCTGGACGTCCTTACACTGTAACACATAGACCCGAACATCTTTTTCCCTCTGCACCCTTCATTTTCCAGCGCGCGCGCGAAATCAGAATTCCTCTACAACTATTTTCTAGAATGCCTCCCCCATTCCTGTGAATCTCAGACTGACCCTCGCTCCCCAAGGCAGAAACCCTAGAAACAGAAGGAAGACTAAGGAACCCAGAACCAGTGCTCCATGCCTTGATCGGCCACCAAGTTTAACTTCCCCGGTTCTCTGCGTCCTCTTCACAACACTGCCCAAGGACTGTGCAGTGAAGTTCTGCAGAACTAAGTGCTTCAGGCCCTCAGCCTCCCAGGGGCACACCTGTGTTCCTGTGCCTCTAACATGGGGGGTGGGCTATTAGGGCTCCCCTCAGCCCCTCAGCTTTTTATGACCCATCTGCCAATAAACCAGTCTCCCTCCTCTGCTGTCCAGAGCCATAAAACCAAAGAGTATGTGTGAGTGTGTGTGTGTGTGTGCTGGTGGGGAACCTTGCCATTCCACTAGGGAATAGAGGGGGCCTGGTTCCCTGGAGTTGGGGGGTATGTGTGGAGGGGAGACCCAGCAGGAGAGGGGAAGAGGGAGTCACCTGACCCCAGGGAGAAGTGGAGGTGGGGGTGGTATAGGATTGGCCTGGATTTTCCAGGCCATAAAATTTCAAAGCAGCTCATGTCTATTAACATGTTCATCTTCCGTTTGGTCAGGAGCTCGGATGCCTGGGTCCCACCGGCGTGCCCCCCCCCAGCTTCCCTCACCCCCACATCTAGTTCTTTCTCTGTTCTCCCTGGATCTTCCTCGGGCTCCTGCGGGTAGAATGAGGGACGGACACTGAGGTTTGAGTAACCAAAGATGTCCTAAGCGCCACCCCCCCCCCCCCGCGCGCGGCGGAGGGGAGTTCTCCAGAGCTCTGTCAGGACTGGGGTAACCCAGTGCGGAGACCAGGTTCGGGCAGGTGGTTGAGGAGTGCCAAGCTGGGCTGTGGGGCAGCAAGCAACCCGGGGTTCTGGAATCCTATTCCTGAGACGGGTGAGAGAGAGGGGCTTTCAGTTCCCCGCAGCCCGCGGGGCGCAGCAGCGGACGGAGCCCCGGGGCGGAGAGTGGACGCTGGAAGCCGTGGGGCGGCTGCACTGCGGCCGCCCGGGGACTGGACTGGACTGCAGGGGTCCGCGCGCCTCGCGATTCGGTTCCAGCCTAACACCCCCCCACACACACACAGGGCCCTTCAGGACACACCGGGGGCGGGGGGGGGCGGAGAGGGCAGCCAGGGGTGTGCGAGGCAGGGTCTCCCTCCCCTGCCC